TCAGCATTTTGTGTCTAATAGGAATGACTTTTGAGACTTTTGAACAAATAAAGTGTTCAATTGGCACAAGGATTAGTTGAGGTGTCTAAATGAATTATGCGGACAACTTTGAGTGGCTGGAGATGAGTTAGGCCAAATATCAATAAATAGAATAATAACTTTACCATATCATTTAAATATTATAAATTTAATTTCTTGAAAAATAATTATAGTTAATGATAAGGTTAAATTAGATATTATTTTTTTCATTTCATATTAATAAAATTTGTTTATATATTTCAAAATTACTTGTCAATTTACAAAATTAAGATCGAATTAACTAAGTTATTCTCATTTTACCCTTACCATCTTACTACTAATTCTTAAAAGTGTAAACAAGTTAGTAATCCAAAAACAAATCTCAGTTATAACTACCATGACTTCTTAAGAAGTCCGTGAAGAAAAAGCGGACAAGTAATTAGCTAGGAAGAAAGTTAAAACTACCATGACTTCTTAAGAAGTCCGTGAAGAAAAAGCGGACAAGTAATTAGCTAGGAAGAAAGTAAGTGAAAGCCCATATTTTTCCATCTGAAATATAAGTGATCCAACTCATCAAAATGTTGCAAGGTAAAATTTTTACATTAATAACATGCCAATCTTTAAATTGTCTGATGAGAATAACCAAATGAACAAGCACCAGAACTGACACTACAAAAGACAGCTTCCACATTTGCCTGTTTAACTCATTAGTACATGCTGCAACTTTTCCTCAAGCAACAGTTTGGACTGCTCTATCAAAACTTTCTTCAGCAGATGCAGCGCGCTTAACAAGTGTGTGCTCTGGGTTCGATAATTTCAACTGGCTGCAAACATCAAGTAACAAAAGCAGCCCATTAGTATTCCTTTCTAGCTACCCAGACAACAAATTGGTGATGTCATGGTTCAACTGTCTACTCTCTATATCACCATAAAAAGTTTTTATGGACTGAAGATACTTCCAAAGTTGTGAATTAGCGACTGGAGTTAATCTGGCACATTGTAAAATGTAATTCCACTATCCTTCTATAATCATTATGGTATCACAACTAGATTCATTCAATTAAAAGTTGAAATAAATGGCAAGTATATGGACTTATCGTACTTCAGATAACGTGTGGATGGTTTCCCAAGGTGAAGACTGCAGACAACCAGATTGGCCAGTGTTTCTGGATCCTTAGCATCCTGCATAAATGAACAAACTCGTAAGAGATCAAGGAATAGAACAACACATTCTTAAATATTTTCAATAGAACGATGGGCATATAACAAGAAGGCATCAAATACAACTTCGAATGCCATGATAGAACATCGTGAGAAAACTTTTGCTAAATGAATAATTTGCAAAATTGTTCAGCATAATCAACAGAATTTGAATATATGATGGCTAAATCATTTCTTTTGTAAGCACTAACTCAACAGATAAAAATAGAAGACAAGTATCATGTCAAAGTGACCTTGTTTAAGGCTTCAAGCAACAGTGTCTCAGCTTCGTCAAAGTTACCCATGTGCATGCAACATACAGCCTTCCCATTCAGGATTAAGCTAGTCATCTGATACTTCTCAGAGAAGTCTTGGTAAATAAGATATGCTTCTTGTATTTTTGAACCACCCTGAAAATAGAATATATTAATAAACAGACACCAACTAATAGTTTTTTGTTAGGCAACCATATTTGAACTTATATACCACTGCCAAGTTTAGCCATGCACTTGCAAGTTGAGTTAGTGTATGATCTTCATCAACTTGCTGCATGATTCTTAACTGTTTCTCTGCATAATCCGATCTATGCATCTTAATGAGTATCTGGACATTCAAAGCATGCCTGCATAAGCACATTTAGTCAGGGAAATGAAAACTATTTTATACTTTAAATTTTAACCTCAAAGTAGATGGTTGACATTAAAAAGTATTTTAGACCTCAAATCCATTAAAGCAGAAATTTATAAAAACATCAAGCCTACAATCTTTCAGTCACCCAACTTAAAAATATGACAGGGTACATCTAGAAACTAAACTAGCCAAAGTAAAGCAAGAAAGGAATGGGAAATTCAGTTTGAAGGGAAGCTTCTTAACCTAGCAAAATTCTGAATTTGGGGTTGAACCACCAAAATTCTGTTCGATCAGCTGCCAGGAGATCTATCATTAACTCATACTTGCACAGGACTGCATTGAGATTATTAGCACTTCTACGGTTCTAGTTATACTATCCTCAGAAAAGAAATTATGTTATTCGATCCATTCTGTAATACTATTTGGTAGATAACCATTGCCTCTATCAGGTCTCACTCACATAGACATGCCTTTTTTTTTGTCTCAGATAATCATTCATCCAGTTCATGAAGCAGAA